GCTCCTCGCAGGCTCGCTCAGTGGGAGCCCTTCCCGCCTCGGGCTGGCCGAGCGTGCTCGGAGAGGGCGGCCCGGGCGTTCCCGCCGATTCGGGCCGGGCGTTCGCCGCCTGCCTCTCGGGTGCCCGGGAGCAGCGCGGGCACGTTTCCTGCTCGGCGTGCTCCTGGGGGCTGCTGCTGCTGCTGCTGCCGCTGCCCGCTCTGGGCTCCTGCCCTGCCATCTTGTCCCACAAATGGCGCGGACCTTTCCAGGGAAGGCCGGGGCTTGGAGTTGTTACCCGCTTGGGCTGCGTCTCGGTGTGGGGGGCACCGTTCGAGGGGATGGAGGGAGGTGCTGTGTGTGGGTCCCCACGTGCGCTTTTTTTTTTTGTGGTCCCCCTAATTTCGCGCTCGTGTTCAACTTAGGGTAACTTCCCGGCGTGAATGGAAACTGTTGGGAAGCAGAGGAATTTGGCCCCCCACTCTTGTTAGGGGGAGCTCTGAATGAAGACCGGTCATGAGCAGGTCCCTTCTCAGGTCGCGATTCCCTTCTCCCAACTCCCCGAAGCCCCCAGGTCTTAGGGCTTTTCCTGCTTTTGGCTTGCTGGGTAAAATGAGTGCCCAGCCTGTCAGGTCCCGGCAGCCGAGCTCCTGGGAGTCTGCAGCTTTGCCTCCGCACGTGCGTGAAGCGTGGTCAGGTCTTCATTGGCGGTTCATAGTCCCTTGCAGGGCGCTGAAAGTTTCGTAGTTGTTTTGATTTCCTTTTAGCATTCTTCCCCAATACTGGCTTATTGTGGGGGAAAAGGCAAAGGAATTAAGGGTTAAGAAGGTGCAAAATGAATAGCAGGTAGGTGTAGAATCCAAGCTGTGAGTCTTTACAATTGCCATTATATGTTAAAGTTGCCTCTTACTGCCTGCCACGTGCTCATGAAAGGAATTGTTTAGGTTTTGGTTTAAGGTATCTTTTAGGGCGCGGGGGCGGGAGGGTGTCTTTTTTTTTTTTGTAAGGCTTGGAGTAAACCTAGTTGATTGAATAAAAGGAAGAATTCTTGTGCTAAAATGAGAGATTTGGAAGGGCAGCATAGTCTGGAGTGTTAGGAAACATCACCTGGGCAAAAATACCCTGCCGATTAAGCTTCTTGACATCCCACAGTTGAATAAGGCATTTAATTCTTGTGTTAAGAAATTGGCTGGTGTATTTATTTTAAACTGTTTACCTCTTTGATGACACTAATTAAAAGAAAGTACATGAATAAGTTGTGTCTAAAACACACCAGGTAGGTGCGCTCACTCATTAAAATGTTCAAAGCATGAAGCTTAATTGAAATTACTCAAGTTTCACCACGAATCCAATCTATGGTCTTACCTGGAAACTAACATTGTAAGTCATAAATGTAGAGAATTATTATAGCCATGATTGTCATTTACTTCAGTCCTTTGGAAAACTTTGCTGATTGACATTTTTCCTTAGTATTTCAATTTTTTTTTTTGTTGTTGTTGGGGATTGAACTCGGGACTTTGCCCATGCTGGGGAAAAGCTGTGTTTCCTACACCCCCAATTCTTAGATCACTCTAAAACCAGAGTTTCTTAAAAAAGGGGTATACATAAGGGGAAATTTTGAATAAACATGTGAGTTCTGTGTATTGGGTGGTAGTTGGTACCTCTAAGAAAGGAAGGAATTGTTAACCTATGGTGTGTCCCGTGTCTTGATAACACAATGCTGGAATGTAATGGTGTCTGTCTGAAGAACTTGAGAGTTGGCAAAATGTTAAGTGTAGACCAGGTTTTTGGATTAAAAAAAAAAAACAAAACAGGATTCTACTGCAGTTAAAATTCAAGTATAGGTAAGTACATCAAAAAAACCTTGCATGTTTTAAAAAGTATCAATAATTTTTCATTAGATGAATTTACTTTTTGTGGTGATATTGGTAGAACCCAGCGTTTTGCACACTATACTATAGTAGTTCTCACTGAGCAACACTCCCAACCCCACAATGAATTTAATAAGGTTTTCTGATTATGTAGGCCTCATTGAATATTGGGTGGGGAAGCAAGCCATTGTTCCGTGGGTGTGTTTAGCTTGGTTATCATTACAAGGATTGAGCTGGTTCCATAGCTCCACCCTAACACACTGTACCTCTGATGAAATTTATGTAAATGTCTTGGTATAAGGTCTACATTTAGGTCTTGTCCAGAGAATTTACAGAAAATGAAGTTTAAATATTAAAGAATTTCATCTTTACTGTGTGACTAGTTAGGGATATCTGAACAAATTGGTATATCCTGATGGTGTTCCCTTTTCTTAAACTAAGTCACATAACTTAAAAAACAATTTCTGAGCAGCTTTTTGACTGTCAAAACCTGTGGTTTGGTAATTAGAGCATACCTGAAATGGTAGGCATGTATTTACCATCAACTTGTCCTTAAGACTACCAATAATTCAATTCATATTGGTTCTTTTTGTGAGTTTCCTATGTTATTAGAAAGAAAAATGAAGGTAGAAAAATTAGTTTAGGCTTTAAGTGTCATTAAGAAAATTCTGTTTTGTTTTTTGAGGGAGGGTACTGTGACTGAACTGAGGCCTTCCCATGTTACTATCATTCTGGATGGTTGCAGCCTTCTTAATACATAATTGCTAAATGAGGATCTTTCTGTGTGTGATTTGTGAAGATGCTTTGAAAACAGATACTTGAAAGAGCAGACATAGGAAAAAACTTGCTATCCATACTAATAATGTAGTATTTCCTAATGGTTACATTATAGTGTTAAAAGTTAGATTTGGGAATATGTATATGGATTTGTGTATACATACTTGGACTTTGAATGTTAATGAGGAAAGGGGTGATTTTTTTTTTTTTTTGTTAAATAGCTCTATTTGCTTGCTTGAGGTGGAGTTGGGACATGGTCTCTGTAATCCAGATTGGCCTTGAACTTCCAAACCTGCTTTGTGCCCCACTCTTTTCTAGTGTTAATATTTTATGCACCATGTCTAGCTCAAATAGCTATTTTAAATTAGGGTTTTTTTCCCCTGGAGCTCATAAATGTCTTTTATTTTTCTTTCAGAATTATAATTTTCTAGATTTAAGAGTTCTTTACTGCCTCCCCCCCTGCAGATTATATAGAAAAATAACAGTGTGAATTTCAGTGTTTTCTAAGGGGCATATTTAGTGAATATCCAGTGCTTGGTTATTTATTACTGGCTACTGGTATTAGCTTTGATGTCTTTAAAGCCAAAAATATATCACAGGACTGAAATATCTGTAAGTTTAAAATTTTGTAGTAGGCTTTTGACTTCTTGGAAAGTAAAGGTGTGATGGTGCCCAGTGATTTCCAAGTCAGTTCTAGCTTGTAGATGAAGTTTGAGATGTTTACTGTTGAATAAAAATGTCCTAAAGCAGTTTGTTACACATGGGTGATGCCCATCAGCCTTAATAGTCAGGCCTAAACTTTTGTGTTGTAAAAATGATTTGCTTATGCTGGTTATTTGTCATAAGGAATAAGGCGAGTTGGAAGAAGACCTGATCAACAACTTCAGGGAGAAGGGAAAATAACTGATAGGAGACCAGAAAGGCGAACACCTCGGGAAAGAAGATTTGAAAAGCCACTTGAAGAAAAGGGTTCTGAAGGTGGTGAATTTTCAGTTGATAGGTAAGCTTTAAACAAGCTTTTCCCGCTTTGTTCTCTTATAGTTAGATCTTAATGTAAAGCTGTAAATTGGGCATAATTGCCAGATAGTAGTTGGGTGGTTACTTAGGTGTATTTCAGAGAAAAGTGAGTATATGTTGTTGCATTTATATTTATGGATAACCTGTTCTAAGTTAGATCTCTTAATAGTAAATATTTTGAGTCAATGGCCAGTTTCTTTTCCTCCCTTTGTCCAGATACTGAGTTTAAAAGGATAGTGGTATTGTCTGTCACTCATCATGCAGGCTGGATACGATTATTGTAGTTAAGAGTATTGATGAATACAAGTATGACTGATGCAGTGAGTCAGTAAGTGAAAAAGTGTACTGACAGCAATGCTTTAAAGAATAGCAAAAGTTTCTAATTCTTTCTCCCTTTACATGAGTAGAAATAGGCTTGGAATTACATATATTTATTTGTTGAGTTATAAGCCAGTAAGCATAGCCTATATTTTTGAGCCTTGGAGTGGATTTTCCCTGTTCCTTTTTCTAGAAACATCTGAGGTATAATTTTTAAATTTGTTTTGTAGACCGATTATTGAAAGGCCTATCCGAGGCCGAGGTGGTCTTGGAAGGGGTCGAGGAGGCCGTGGACGTGGAATGGGCCGAGGCGATGGATTTGATTCTCGTGGCAAACGTGAATTTGATAGGCATAGTGGAAGTGATAGATCGTAAGTCTCACTGATTGTTGTATGTTTTAGATTTAAATGTGCTTATTTAATAAAAACAAAATTTGAATTTCTAGAACTAAAGAGTATAATGTTAACTCAGTTTTGTTAGTTCTTTTTCGCATTACAGTGGCCTGAAGCATGAGGACAAACGCGGAGGTAGCGGATCTCACAACTGGGGAACTGTCAAAGATGAATTAACGTTGGTATTCTGATTTTTTTTTTTTTAAGTTAAATAATTTGAAACCAAAATGCTTAACTTACTAGAGGCTTGTCAATACTTAAATTTTGTTCTGGAGATAAGAATGGATGTTCTGTCTCAAAGCTATAGCCTTATAATGTCTTACGGGATATTTAAATAAAAATAATTAAATATATGAATAATTTTATTTTAGTGATGGATGTATGTAGTTTTTCTGAAGCCCCATGATAAAGATACTGGGAGTGTTATGACTTTAATTGTTTGAACTCTAGTTATCTTAGTCTTCCTTACACACCCACCCCCAACTATTTTGTTTTTTGAGGGTGGGTACTGTGACTGAACTCAGGCCGTCCCATGTTACTATCATTCTAGATATCACCCCCAATTTTATATTTTTGAAATGGGTCTTACATACTCCAGGCTAGCCTTGAACTTGCTGTGTAGTTAATTACAGGTGTCCACTATTGCATCTGACTTATAAAATCTTGTTTTAAAAGTGTGTAAACTAATTTAATAATTTGTTTTCTCTTAGACGTCTACTGGAGCGTAAAATAAATATAAATAGATTAAAATTAGTGGAAATACATAAAGAATGTAAAAGTTTTTACTTTGTTATGATGGACTTTTGGCTACATGTAAATGGACCTAGATGCCTTTCTTTTTCTTTCTTTCCTTAGAGAGTCTCCCAAATACATTCAGAAACAAATATCTTATAATTGCAGTGATTTGGATCAATCAAATGTGACTGAGGAAACACCTGAAGGTGAAGAGCACCCAGTGGCAGACACTGAAAATAAGTAAGTGGTTTTGTGTGGAGATGTAATGCTCCAACCTGGGAATTTGTCTGGATTTTTACCAATAAAGTATCTCATTTGATGGCACAGACATGAGACTTTCTTGCTTTGAGACATTGTCTTGCTGTGTAATTCAGGATGGCCTGGAACTCAGTATTCTCTTGTGTTACCTTCTAAGTCTTGGGAGTACAGGTGTGTAATACCATGCCTGACTTAGTGTTGATATGATAATTTTACTGTTTTTATACACCTTAGAAAAATTAAGGAATATGTATGTATTTTAAGTAAAATCTTTAAGCCCTGATCATAAAAATCAGCTGTTGTTACCCAGGTATGAAGGAAAGGACCAAAGTACTTTGCATTTGCATTTAGGAAGGGTAATTATAGTGATAGCTGTACTTTGCTGAAATTCTGAATAGGTGGATTGTGCTAAACTGAACTAAGCTGGGCAGTGGTGGAGCACTCCTTTTAATCCCAGCACTTGAGAGCAAGTGCAAGGCCTGCCTAGTCTACAAAGTGAATTATAGGACAGCCCAGAGCTACACAGAGAAACCCTATCTCTATTAAACAAAAAGAAAAGAGAAAAAACCAAACTGAACCAAATTGTTGGTATAGTATAAGAGGTGTTTATAGTGTTTAGTTCAATGCAATCTCAACATTATCAGTTGTAAATACTATATCTTGAAACTTGAAAAACAGCTTTGTATAATAAAATTAGGTTCAGACTGAAAAGCAATGATGAGAGTGCTCATTAGCCTTCTTTTTAAAAATTCATATGTATGAGTGTTTGCCTGCATGTGTGTTAAGTGTATTGCATTCATGCAGTATCTACAGAGGCCAGAAGAGGGTGTTGGATCCCCTGGAACTGGACTGTTAACTAATGCTACAAGTAAACAACGGGCTGTGGGTGTATTTTTGGCATACTGCTTTTATTTCCTTTGGGTATGTTGTGGAACTCAATCTACTGGGCATAACATGAGCATTGCTGTCCTGAAATCGTGGCACCTGTTGCTAAACTAACATTCATTTATGGGCTTGCCAGGTGGTCTGAGGACCCCTACTTTGAGTATGTATAAGTCTTTAATGATTGCTAAGGGATGGGGTCGCTCTTCTCTGTTGGTGTTACTGCTCATAGGTTTTCTGTGTTCCTGTAAATAACCACTCACCCATGCTCCTATAAATAACTAATGAAACTCATTGGTCCACCAATGAGGTGGAATAATTTTCTTAACCGTTGTGTGTGCTTGTCTGGAGTGAATACATGTTGATTCATGTCTACCCAGGAAAAGTTAAGCTCAACACAATATATGCCCAATGATAAAATTTTTGATCTGTTTCTAGGTTTTTATTCTTTTGAGAATCTTTGATTTCCTTTGTGGTTGTATTGATGACATTTCTGAGGGTGTTTTCTCAGGATCCTCACTAGCATTTATTTCTCTTTTAATAGCCATTTGTGGCAAGGGTGAGATGATCTCATTGTGATTTTTGATGGTGTTTTGTTTTGTTTTTAGTCAGGGTCTTAAGTAGTCTGGCTGCCCTTGAACTATGTAATGGAAGATTATTACTTATGTATGATTCTTTCCAAGTACTGGGATTGTGGGTGTGCTCAGTCATGTTTGTTTTGCGTTGCTAAGACTTACCTCAGGACCTCATACATGTTAGATATGTACTATCCTGTGAGTTACATCCCCAGGCCCATAGTTTTCATTTACTTTGTGTAACAGCCTTAGCTGCCCTGGAACTCAACTTTGTAGAGCAGGCTGGCCTTGAACTCTGCTCCTAGCCCACCCACATTAATCCATTTTTTTTTTAAAAGTCAGATTAGGTGGGTGGTTTTTTTTTTTTTTTTTTTTTTTTTTTGGGCTGTTGGGCTGTTTTGGATTTGTTACATACTTTCTATTAGTCACTTGAATGGGATACAGGTATTTCATCTGTGCACATTGTCTTTTAGTTTGTTGTAATTCCATTAGTCAGATTTTGCTTTTGTTAATTTGCCTTTGGGGTTTCTTTGGCCAGCCAATTCCCTGAAGTACACCCTCCATTTAAACTTTGTTATTTTTAATTTTACTTGTATGAATGTTTTGCCTACAGGCATGTAGTATCCATGGATCTGGGTCTGGAGTGTAGATGATAGCCTGTATGTAGGTGCTGGCATTTGAATGTGGGTCTTTGGGAAGACTGGCTAGTGCTCTTAACTGCTGTACCATTTATCCAGTCCTGTTTGGTTTTTGAGACAGGGTCCACTGTTGTAGTGCTGGCCTAGAACTCTATAGACCAGACTGTCTTTAGTTCACAAGAAGATTGCTGGGATTAAAGGCATGTGCTGCCACTCCCCCCTGTTCAAGTCGTTTAAATTTTTTAACTGTTGAATTGGAACCTCTGAGACTATATAAAAAAAAAATTATGGCCGGGCGGTGGTGGCACACGCCTTTAATCCCAGCACTCGGGAGGCAGAGGCCGGTGGATCTCTGTGAGTTCGAGGCCAGCCTGGACTACCAAGTGAGTTCCAGGAAAGGCGCAAAGCTACATAGAGAAACCCTGTCTCAAAAAAACAAAAAAGAAAAAAAAAATTAGAAATGTGAAATGCTGTTTTGGTGAACAACTCTTAATGATGAGAGGAAGCATTGTATTTTGTGGGCTTGTTGAGATAAGGAAACAATCACTAGAGTATATCAAAGTAATGGAATTAGATGGTCTCTTGCATTAAGAATTGGTGTGTGTGTGTGTGTGTGTGTGTGTGTGTGTGTGTGTGTGTGTGTGTGTGTGTTTTACTTTGGAGGGGTAAGCATAATGGGGATTAATGGTACCTCACAGTACTCAGCACATCCTTTTCTTTTATTAAACATATTTGAGTTGCTTTCAGGGTGATCCTCAAAGATTGTGTTTCTCAGAAGGAAATGATATATTCATGGGGGTATTAGAAAGGATTCCTCTACTTGTGACCTAGGAGCAGTTGGGGATAATTGTTCTAATGAATATGATAGTCACCATTTCAGAGCAGTCTATTCTTAGAAAGTAGGGGGAAATGGATTATAATTTTTTATTTTCAGGATAAGTTTAAGAAGCAAAGTGGTCTTTAAAGGTAGGTATCATGGACTGTCGACTGGTGAGTCATGAGGACAGTTTTCCAGAGCTTTAGTTCTGTTATATGTAAAAGTGACTTGACAGACTTGATGTCCAATGTCTTATCAAGAGTGAATGTAAATTTGTTTCAGGAAGTTGTAAGATAGAATCTGTCCAGATATAAAGAATTACATAAAGATATTTTAGCAATGATGCTAAACTAAATCACTTGGTATCTTTGGAAGGAAGCAGAGCTCTCAAAATAGCAAATGATTTGTTTGGTGACATTTGGAATTGGACTAAGATAGTGGATTCCTAGGTCAGTGCTTTATGTAGAAAGGGGGACAGATAACTATTTTGGTATAAATGTTGAAACCAATGTGTTTTGTAGACAGTTACATTACTGATGAAACCTCAGTCTTCTGTCCATATGTTAGAGGTTGATTTGAGAGTTGGAGTTACATAGAATTTCAGATTTGTAGGAATCAGGCTTGTATGCTTGGCTAGAATGCTAGTAACTGAAGTAGAAGAGCAGCAGATAATGATCTTTATATATGAAATGAAAACGAGATGGGGTTATGGAGGTGTTTCAGTCAGTAAATCGCCTGCTGCTCCAGCTTTAAGACCGAAGTTAAGGCTAGCACTCACATAAAAGCCAGACGTGGGTGCACACCTGACCAACTTGAACCCTCCCAGTGCGGGTGGGAAGATTTTCTAGAGCCATCCAACCTAGCCAGTTGGTGAGCTTCAGGTTCAGTGAAAGATCTGGTCTCAAAAAATAGAGAAGAGAGTGATCATGGAAAATACCAACGTTGACCTTTGGCATACCTTTGCATGCACATGCATGCATGCATCATATACAGTTTAGGAGAAAGTAGACCATGAAATCAATTACACAAGAAGGTACAGTTTAAAATATGGTTTCAAAGAAATAAGATTGATAAGGCCAATTCATGGTGTAGTCATTTAAGAAGGCAAGTTGTTAAGGTAATCTGTATTCACAAATCAATATGCAAATAAACTGGTCTCTATCATGCTTGGAGTTGGTTGCTGGGTTATAACAGAAAGCTGTGATTCTTCTCCAATAGTCTTTCTAACAGATACTAAGAGTCAGGGTCATTTTCCTTATTGTAATTTGAAATATATATGTGTGTGTGTATTTAAAATTTTTTTTTAAATGTATATAGGTGTTTTGCCTATTTGTATGTATGTGTACCATTGCTTGTCTGTTGCCTATGGAGTTCAGAATTGGGTTCCATATGTCCTGGAACTGGAGTCACGGGGTTTGTGAGCAGCCACGTGTGCTGGGAACTGAACCTCAGTTCTCTGGGAGAGTACCCAGTGCTCTTAACCTCTTAGCCATCTCTTCAGTGCCCCAGAATTTTTTCTACAAATTTGTAACAACCATCAGGCATAAAATTTAAGTATCTTTTTCACAGGGAGAATGAAGTTGAAGAGGTTAAGGAAGAGGGTCCAAAAGAGATGACTTTGGATGAGTGGAAAGCTATTCAAAATAAAGACCGAGCGAAAGTAGAATTTAATATCCGAAAACCAAATGAAGGTGCTGATGGACAATGGAAAAAGGGATTTGTTCTGCATAAATCAAAAAGTGAAGAGGTAAAATTAAAATTGTTTGAATTTGTTCATTTGTGCCTTAAATTATAATTTTTGTTTTAAATTTCATATGGATAACTTGTTTTGTTTGGTTTTTTTGAGACAGGATTTCTCTATTTAGCTCTAGCTGTCCTGGAGCTTGCTCTGTATACTAGACTGACCTCACACTCACATAGATCCACCTGCCTCTGCCTCCCAAGTGCGTGCACCACCACAGCCCAGCTAATCCAGATAACTTTTAAGCTTTATTTTAGACTTATTTCGTGTATAAAACTTGCTCAGAAAGAAAGAAAAAATATTCAGGACTTAGAAAATGTTAGTATTTTTCCTTGTTATGGAATGGTGTCTTATAAAGACTGATTAGAGTTTCTTATGGAAGAAACATGGAAACTAATGTAAATACTTCAGAAAGTCATGCTGATAGGGGCTTATGTGAATATGAATTTAACCAAATTATTAAAAAAAATTTTTCAAGTAGCTTTTGCTGGCCTTTTTGATACATGTATTCATTCATATAATAAATTGGGCTGTGTCACTTATTTTTGATATTGGGAATTGAACCCAGGAACATGCTAACATGCACATGCTCTGCCATTGAGTCATAACTTCTGGCACTCAATTTCTTAATACATTTTGGTTTATTAGACATACAAATAGCTGAGACCAATATAGGAAACACTGTTAAATGAAATTGAGGTTAAATAGAGTTGGTTTTCTAAGTTTAGAGAAGGCATGGTTTTTAATATTTACTCCATAAAAATATAAATGAGAAAATTGTCTTAAATGTCAGGTCTTAAAAAACATTTTTATCCCAGTTCTTACAGAAAAAATTGTTAGTGTTATTGATTGAACAATGAAAATTAATGTAGGAGTTTCCATTTAGAATAATAAGTGGCCTATGTTAATATAAAAAAGATTAACTAGGCTCTGGCTTTTCCCATTAAAATCTAGTTGAAATTTAGATAATTCATTAATGTATTGAAGTCTTTGTGTGTTACATGCATGTTATGATGTTTCCCAATTTGAAATGTTTTATTCTGATAGCAGTCTTATTTAGCTGTGTGTTTTTTTTGTTTTTTTTTTATTTTTTGTTTTGTACCTGGTTGTTTTCAGTTAACCTGTAGTTAACTAGGGTCCAAAAATAGTAAGTAGAAAACTGTAGAAATCGATAATTTTACATTGCACGCCACTCTAAATAGTGTTGTAAAAGCTTAGCATTATGTTGTACTCTCTGAATGTATGAATTACCGATTTACAACTGTATCTGCATTGTGTATACTATTTGCCCATTGGTTAACTAATAGCTCATATATAAATAAAAGCATAGTGTAGGGTTTGGTGCTGTGGTTTCAGGCATCTCCTGAGTTAAATGTCCTGCAAATACTAGGGACTACTGTATCATGCAAGGTAAGGTGCAAAAAATTTTTGAAAATTGCTTCTGAAAAAATTTGGAACTTTGACATTCTTATTTATCAAATCACTTATATTTGGGTTCATATATTTATTGTGCCTTTGTGATGTGAATACTTATACAAATATGGGCTTACTGATTTATTTAACACTGATATTACCTGTATGACAAATAATGGGGTTGTTCTGAGAAGGAAGAAATGTGGTTTGGGGAATGGTAGACTGAGTCATTGTACTGACAGATCTGAGGTCAGAGCAAGTTGACATCCTAAATGCTCTAGAGAGATAAGTGGATTTGTCTGGTTTCATCACATTCTAGAAGTCAACCTAAAAGTTAGAAATGTGCCCTGAACATCAAAACTTTTGTGTAGTAAACCATCCAGATTTAAGTTTGTTTTGCTTTTGTGCTCTAGAAAGTTATTGACATCAATGGTTTGAAATACCAAACATTTAAACCCAGATACAAGACAAGCTGTTAAAAATGATTATTTAATTTTCCTAGTGCTTTTGTAGATTTATATTTAATGATTTTTAGATTTCCTTAAAATTTATATTTGAGAGCCGGGCGGTGGTGGCGCACGCCTTTAATCCCAGCACTCGGGAGGCAGAGCCAGGCGGATCTCTGTGAGTTCGAGGCCAGCCTGGAAGCTGCACAGAGAAACCCTGTCTCGGAAAAAAAAAAAAAAAAAAAAAAAAAAAAAAAAATTTATATTTGAGAAACTATTGTCTTTAGATTGAGTTGTCATAATTAAAGGGATAGAATTTAATTTGTCTATCAGTATATGAAAACATTAATGTGAACAGTGTTCATTTGTGTTTTTAAAGTAGTTACTAGCAGCTGTGATACTGGCTATAAAGGACAGTGTACTTGTTATCCTTAAATAGATTTTATATGTATTAAGAATAAATAAACACTAGACTTTTATTAGTATAAAACAAACTTTTCAGCCAAGGAGTATAACTAATTTTATCCAGAATATATAAAACTAGAGGCATTAAGCGGTATTAAATTCTATTAATTCCTCCTTCCAGGCTGAGATATCTTAGTTTTGTAATGTCTCATTTATTAGTAAAGTACTTTTAGTGCATTTTAGGTGTGGACTTACGTATAGTTCTAAGAATCTCTTACGTAAAGTTTGACTTTCGAAGTTGACAATTTATGTGGAGGAGCAATGAAGGCTGAGTGAGTAATCCTTGTCTGAATGCTTGAAACCAAACATGTTTCAGGTTTTGGGAGATTTGTGCAGAACATTCCTAATTTGAAAGTTGTGGTGCATAAAAAATTTAGTATTTGAGGTAGGCATGCTTGCTTAACTTAGAATTATATGTAAACAACAAAACTTAAATGTGTACATTCATTCTTGGGTAAGAGGGCCTAGTTTGGAAGAATATAGATTAACAAAAACCTCAGATTTATCACTAGTAAAAACTATATGTCTTCTATCCAAAGATCATCAGGGATTCACATTGGAATTCCAATTTTAAGGACCCGTTGTAAATGTCACATAGATTTAACTGCTGAAGATTTAGTAGAGTGGGAACTTGTCACTTGGATTATATGTCATTAACCAAGGACTGCTGGTATCACCTGCAATTCAGAGAAACTTATGATAAAGGAAAGTGAAAAGAATTCCACAACAAAGTCATTACCTGACCCCCAAGTGAACCGTACTTACTACCTGTAGAGTTAGAAGAGGATGCTGTGGAATATCTTTCTGTATGCTGTGAAGGTGTTGCTCTGATTGATTGATAAATAAAACGCTGATTGGCCAGTAGCCAGGCAGGAAGTATAGTGTAGGCGGGATAAGGAGAGAGGAGAATTCTGGGGAAGTGGAAGGCTGAGTCAGGAGACTGTCAGCTGCCCCATGAGAAGCAAGATGTAAAGGTAGAACTGAGAAAAGGTACCAAGCCACATGGCTAAACATAAATAAGAATTATGGGTTAGTTTAAATGTAAGAGCTAGTCAGTAATAAGCTTGAGCTAATGGCCAAGCAGTTCGTAAATAATATAAGCCTCTATGTGTCTACTTGGGTTCGAGTGGCTGCGGGACTGGCGGGTGAGAGGAATTTGTCCTGACCACCGGCAGGCTGGGACACAGGAAATCTTTAGCTAGAAGTGGATATATTCATTCACACAAAGTACAGGATTAATAATTGGGTCTTTAGAGAGAACGTACATTTAGAAATTTTGCAGCATTACTTTTATATTAATTAACCCAAGGGCCTTAACTTACCATTTTAGGCTCATGCTGAAGATTCGGTTATGGACCATCATTTCCGGAAGCCAGCAAATGATATAACGTCTCAATTGGAGATCAATTTTGGAGACCTAGGCCGCCCAGGACGTGGTGGCAGGGGAGGACGTGGTGGCCGTGGCCGTGGTGGCCGTCCAAACCGTGGCAGCAGGACTGATAAGGTGATTTTAAGAGGCTTTTTTTCTGTTTTAAGCAATTTAGGACTTGTAAGAGATTACTGTCTGGATATTCTGGAGGGTGGGGGATACAGAACTAAAGAAAGAAGTGACTTATTTTCAAAAACATTTTTAACAGTTTCACTATGTGGCTCCAGCCTGCCTGGAACTCATCTGTGTGGGTCAGGCTGTCTTTGAACTCTTTGATCTGCTGTGAAGTGCTGGTAAACATACACTGTGACACCAGGCATTAGTTTTATTTCTGTTTAAAGGACTTTAATGATTATAGTAGTGCTGCCAATGAGTTGAATGAAGCATACTGTTGAATTCTTACTTTGTGCTTGTCAGGGTGCTGCGTTAGGCTTTTTGCATGCTGGCATAATTTCTTTTTATTCTGGGGTGTTTATCCTCACTGCTGAGTAAATTGAGGTATAGAAAATTCTTAGGATTGCTAAAGTTTCTGTGAAACATACTCTATGCCATGATATAAGAGTGGGATACAATATTAATTTGTTTATGGGTGCTATGTCAGGCTGTTCCCAAACTTGCAGTCAGGCCTCACCCTCCCAAAGGTCCTTTATATCATGTCCACCTCTAAAACAAGCTCAAGGAGTTGATTTTGAATTCAGAATTGTCTGTTGACAGAGTATTAGGGATAACTTTAATGTCTAGTTTGAAAAACAAACCATATTTATTTTATTTTTGGAGCTTTTTTTGTTTTGAGACTGGGTCTCACTACACAGCCTTGGCTATCCTGGAACTCACTGTAGACCAAGTGGCCTTTGCCTTCCAAGTGCTGGGATTGGCAAAATCTTGTCCCAAATGGGGTGGGGAGGGGCCAGGAAACGTAACAATCAGTGGTAGAACACTTAACCTAGCAATATACAAGCTCTGTACATGAGACCTAGCACATCAGATAATTCAAGTACTTCATTGGAGAAACAGAGACTCATTGTTGGTGTATGTATAGTTTTATTCTGATGTATAATTTTGTGTCTAAAAGCTTCAATTTATTTTATGTAGTGTTTTAACCTGAAGACTTTATAGAATTCAGTGTCTAAATATAGACACTAAGAGCCTATTTTTAATATTTGAGAATTGTGGTTAATTTTTTGTTTCTTTTTTTTTTTCCTCCTCAGTCAAGTGCTTCTGCTCCTGATGTAGATGACCCAGAGGCATTCCCAGCTCTGGCCTAACTGGATGCCATAATACAACACTGGTTCCTTTGTGGACCCTCCTGTTCAAAGCTTTTGCATGCTTAAGGATCCCAAACAACTAAGAATTAAAAAAAAAAAAAAAGACTGTCATTCATACCATTCACACCTAAAGACTGAATTTTATCTGTTTTGAAAATGAACTTCTCTAGCTACACAGAAGTAACAAATATGTTAGTCAGTTTTGTATTTAGAAATGTATTGGTAGCAGGGATGTTTTCATAATTTTCAGAGATTATGCATTCTTCATGAATACTTTTGTATTGCTGCTTGCAAATATGCATTTCCAAACTTGAAATATAGGTGTGAACAGTGTGTACCAGTTTAAAGCTTTCACTTCATTTGTGTTTTTTAATTAAGGATTTTAGATGTTCCCTCAATTACAAGCCGGTTTTAAATATTAGACACAATACTGGTTTTAATATCTGCTTTGCATTTTCACACATGGTCAGCTGGGACATGTAAACTTCTGATTTACCAGATTTTATGCTGCGTGAAATACTAACCACTATGTATTTTAACTATATATTTTTATTTGGGAGTTGAATTTTTTTCCACAACTTATGATAGCTGATATATACTAAATCTTTATACAGAATTATCAGTACTTGAATGAATTCAAAACACATTGGTTTATTAACTCTTGGCTCATGCATGGTTTATTAGGTTCAAATTATATCTGATTCACCTATATTTACTTTTAAAATGTATGGCTTCCTCATTTTAAAAGTAAAACTAAACACTGCTTTTGGAACTTGTTTAAGCTACTACTTGTTTACAGATATAGCCTGTGTTCATTAAAATAGTTCTGTGGGTGTGGACAGAGTAAGTTAGTTTGATAATGCCTAACAGTTAAACTTGTATAAAAATAAGAGCCTAGCCATTTGATATTTGCGTGCGAAAGGTCCCCAAATCAAGGTGGTTATCTGTAATTAACAATCTTTATTTTTGATTTATATAAACCAAAGGGCACTCATTGGTTACTATGCTGAGATGGAAAACTAGCTTGTAGTATTTCAAAACCAGCTTTACTTAGTTTGGAACAACAACACCATACATAAAATACAAAATAATATCTTGTTTATGAACTTCCTATATATTGTTATGATTTTGCCCTGTGTTGATAGACAAATGTTTCACAGAAAGTGTTATAAGTTTCCATTTCCTCCATTAGAAAATTAGGTAATCAATGGATTTTTGAACAGAAGCATCACTGCTTATTAAAAAGTATGTACACAGAATTATCAAAAAACAAGTTTTCTAGGATATTTTTATTCACATTTATTAATTAACCAGGGAAGGAATTTTACTCAAAGATTTTAAGACTTGTCAGTTGTTAGTAGTTTTTTTTAAATCTGTTGTAATTTTAGAAATAATGGAGATCTTAAATCTTACATTTGCTAGTTAGATGATTGATTTTTATGTACACATCTAAATGGTATTGTATAGTACATTTAGTTATTCATTTAATTGCAATTACTTATCTGGTTGCCAGCAAGTCTGACAGCTTGAAAAGAAGGGTTTTGTGTTTTTTTGGTTTTTTTTTTTTTTTAATAGAACTTGATGTACAAGTTCTGTACTAATGCTGATACCTGACTTTTCACATGTTAAAAGACACCTCTCCAGAGGTAAGGGTTAGCCCATGTGGACTTGTTGGCCCTTGGAGAGTGCAGCATATGCACCCGTAAGTCAGTATGTTTAAACTTTCAAGTATCTTAATTGACTCTTTAATAGTAACACCTTTATAAATTCAGATTTCCAGTAACATTGCAGAAAACACCTTCTCTTAGAACACACAGGTTTTAACTGAGCCACTGTCACCAGAAAACACAGTGGCATTTGCAACATTGTTGTAAACTTTCAAAGTAGGTTGAATTTGAAGAGGTAGGTCTAGTCTTTCTAATACCTGTGAGTTTGCTTTCAGGTTTACTTTCATGTGAAGAACTGAACGTAGACTTTGTTTATTGAAAATAACAATTTATTTGCATGTTCATTTCCTGAAAGATACAAAAGCAATCAAGTGGGAGCCCCTTTATATATGTTTCTTGGCTTCCCATTTTCTGATCTCTGTGCATTGTCAAGATAATGCTACTTTTAAGATTTTGAATGTTTAGGTATCACGTGAGGTTTAAAGTGAACCGCTGACTCCTATGCGAAGAATACTTAATGACAAAGTTGGGAAAGTTAGTACAATAATTTCAAGAGTGGATATAATAGTTGGCCTAAATGCTTTTAAATATAAATGGTATCAGTTGAAATTTTTAGGATAGTTCCAGCTTGGATTGACGGGAGAATGAACTTTATTAGTTGAATACTATTTGGAGTTGTCCAGAGATCTTAAATGTACCAGCAGGTACTACAGTTCATTTTATTCAGTTCACGACACGTAATTTCCAGAGTTGTGAATGTATTTGGTTTATTTTGGGTATGGGTTTGGAGAGATTATTACATATTCCTTCTGATTGTTATTTTTATAATTACTAGAGATGATTGATGAAATAGAAAAAATGTTATACTTAGTTTGCAAGTGAAGTGTAAGTATTTTGTGTTAAATTTTTAAAAACGTCTTCAGAGCATTAGCAGGTGGAAGAAACCAGGTATTAAAAGTTAAAAATGAGAAGCTGCCAGAACCTTACCCATGTTGACTCTAAAGGTAAGACAATGCAGGCACATCTTCTGGACAGGTGGCCCAACACTGAACTAACTGGTATTGTACACCTATGATGCATGCCGTTTTGCTTCCCCTCCCCGACTACTTTGGTGCTGGGTATCTGCTGGGCAAGTATGCTGAGCTATAACCACAGTACCACAGTAAAGGAAAAGTTGAGTGAATATATTCTAGCCCAAACCTTTGTGATTATAGTGAGATTAATATGTAAATGTTAGATCTGAATGTCATATCTTCACATTAACTCAAAGCCTGGAAACCAGACTACTAGTATGCTTTGAAGAGTATGACTAATAACAAGACAGTAAAGTATTACCTTATTGAACACCCTTAGTAATTTATCTGCATCAGCAAAACCAGTTGTCAGGTATTTTTTAAGGTTGATTTGAAGTGCTAGGGTTTTGTGTATTCTAGGCACGTGTTTTGCCACCAAGCATTCCTTAACATGAGTTGCCAGGTTTTGTTGGGATAAATTAGTTGACTGCTTTCTGAAGTGTGAGTAGGGTTTGCTAGCTATGTCCTTCCTGACTGTCTGCTGTTCCTGATCATCCCAGGCCAGAATGTAAACGCTCCTTTAAAATAAAAGTTTACCTCTATGTATCCATTAAGTCATGCTACTCTTAAAACAATCTGTCACTTTAATCCAAAGTGTGGGGTTGGGTACAGTGTCTATCTGGTAGCCACTTAAATTGCCCATAGTCAAAAAACTATAGAGGTAATATCTGTTTTTTTTTTTTAAAGATTTATGTGTGTGAGAGAGAAGAGTGGTGTGTGTCTGTGTGTCTTTGAGCATGTGAGACTGCAGCTGCCCATTCAGTCCAGAAGACATTAGATCCCCTAGAGCTGTAATTAGAACTCTAGCCTCTGATTTTGCTATTTTAAAACAATATATTATAGCTTGCATTAGTTGAATTGGTTTTCATTACAATACTTGGTTTACAGTTATTTCTAAAATTTAGTAGTGTCTAATTTGTAGAAATTTATTTACATACACATAAAAATCTGTGAACTCCAAATTAATTTATTTGACTAGGATTTTCTTTGGGCCTAAATGCTTCTAGTCAGTACTGAGACAATTTTTTTTAGTTTTATTTAATTTTTCACTAAATTTTAGAGCACATACAAAGGTTCTTTTTATACCTGTAATCCACAGAGACCTAATGTTCAGTTTGGATGCCAGTTTCTGTGGGAAGTTCTTGACAGGGCTCTTTTAGTAATTCAGTATTTAGTAATGAATTTAAAAAATAGGTTCAAGAAGATGTTTTAGTGTTCTCCCATCACATACATGAACATGCTGAAGTTTCCATGATGTGAAGTTAAATGTATTTTTAGAGACAGGCAGTTGGGTGGGATTTTAGTGTTTTGTTTTTCTAGAGGCAGTGCTTTGCTCAGCATTGCAAGCTAGCCTGAAACTGGGGGTCTCCAGCTTGGGTTTTCTGAGTGGGTTATAGATAGGCATTACCATGCCTGGCAGTTCTTTTGCATATTCTTCCCGGTTTTCAGAATTTCTACTAGCTTCGACTTTATTCTATACACCTTTTTAAGTGTTTTCTTTATATATTCATGAAGGGTTTACCTGGGTGTTAACATCTAACATCAAGTAAGACAACTTTGGTATGTGGGAGACCTGGGTAGTTCATTGCCTCCTTATCAGTGTGCGGTGGTGAATCCATATTCTTAGTTACGTAGTATGTGCCTCACATTAATTTTTTTCTTTTAACAGTATACTTACTATGCCTTTAAAAGCAGATGACACTTTGTCACTGTATCAGAAAGATCTAGGTTAATTTTTCTATTAGTGATAGGCCTAGCTTCCATGAATCTCATTTTTTAAGAGTTGAGAAGTAGAGGTAGTTTTACCTGAAGTGGAGGATATTGCCAGTAAACTAGCACTTCCTAGTTACAGGAGAGCATGGACGCTTTCTTTTTCAGCTTCATCAATCAGTCTCTTGATATTTAGAGTTTATTGCAGTTTTAAAGTATCACTTTTCTGAGAAAGGCACTTTTCTATTGTTTACAGGAATTGAAAAGAATCTAAAAATTGAGTTGTCCAATGTTGAGGGAAATTAGTGTTTTACTACAGTTTTAGGTAAAGAAAACAGATGGTCAGTAGTCTTTAATTTGTTGTGATGGAATAAAAGTTGTAACTTCTGTTTCTTAGTGAAATCTTAGAGTCCCACGTATTAGTGAAAGGTTTGATTAAATCTGAAGTTTAGTAAGTGAATAATGAACAGCGTTTTTGTTGCTTATATTCAGTTTTGAAGGTATTTTTACAGTTTTGAAAACCAGGAACTGTGTAGACGAAGACCAAGCTGGCCTTGAGTGGTGGCATTGAAAGCATGAGCCACTGCACTGGATTTAGTGAAAATACTCTGGATGATTTTTGATAAGTTAATGAGAATCAGTCTTCATAATGTTACCTGGTTACCCATTTTTTCTGGAAGCGTTACTGCAATGTATAGCTCGTGATATCTAGAGTAAAGTAAAAGACTTTTTTTTTTTAACTGACTGAAAAAATTATTCATGGCACAAGATTCAGGCATCTTTTTTGACTTAAATAACTTAAGCCACACTTCAAAATGTATAAATTGGGTAGAATTAGGAGGTGGAAGATTATTCTCAGTTAATTAGTGTTCAAAAGGCATGCTAGGCTTGGTGGTTCTTGAGGCTGAGTTTAAAGTTACAAGCTGAAGGTCAGTCTTCTTGCATAGAAGGAGATCTACCTTAAAACCCAGGTCTCTACACCTCCCAAGAAAAAGCATGGTTTATTTTGTTTATCAGTGTAATAGGTTTTTTGGTTTTGTCAAATTGTCACAATCAGAGTTGTCTGAGAAGAGGGGAATTGCACCTATTAGATTGGCCTGTGTGTAGTCAAATCTATGGGGACATTGTCCTAATCTACAGGAAGAGGTGCCACCCCTGTATCTCTGGGTTGTATTACAAAAAGCAAGCTGAGCATGCCAGTGAACAGTTTTCGTGGTGTCTTGCTTCAGTTCCTGCCTCCAGGTTCCTGTTGTGACTTTTGGATGAACAGTGATTGAAATTGTATGACAAATCATGTACTCTCCATTTACTCTCCAGTCTGCTTTTAGGGTTTTACCATAACAACAAAGTAAACTAGGACGCAAGTTGGTACCAGGAGTGGAATAATGCTGTGACAGACCTGGCCTTGTTGCTTTGAGGAAGACTAGACATGGCTCAAAGCTAAATGGGCTATTGTGTGGGAGCTTGGAAGTGCTGAGAAAAAGCCCAGAGAGCAGTGTTCTTTCATGGTCTCCACTTCCATTCCTGCCATGGCTTCTCAGTAGTGGTCCATGATGTTTTATCATACCAATAGAAAGCAATCATACAGAAGTTGGTACCAGTAGTAGAGTTTGAATCTACACAGACGGGTACAATGTACTTGTATGGGCATGTTCACTTCAGTGTGGAAAGCGGGGCATTGCATTGTGCTCCCCCACCCCCCAGCCAGACTTAACAGGCAGTTTTAAGCCATCCTGTGTGGATGCTGCGAATTAAACTCTGGTCCCCTGCAGCAGCACTCCATGCTTTAATAAGACTTCATTTTATGTGTATGAGTATTTTGCATTTTAAGTGTGCACTATGCATGCTGTAGCCATGGAGAAACAGCTACCAACTTGGTGTTGGGAGTGGGACCTGTATCCTTTGTAAGAGCAAATTGCTCTAAGCCACTGAGTTTTCTTCTTTATTCTGTATAGTATAGTATAGTATAGTATAGTATAGTATAGTATAGTATAGTATAGTATAGTATAGTATCCTTTATCAGTTTTATGCCCTGTCTTAATTTTAGGGATATCAAAATGTGAAAAGCTAAGTCCTACATGCCTCTAGCATGCACAAGGCCAGTTTTATTCTTAGCACCACTAAAAAGAAAACACCGAGACCAGTGGCACAATGCAGTTTAATTAGGGTTTTGCTTAGAATTCAGAATCATGTAGAGTCGAATTCCTTGAACTCCACAGTACTTTTATTGTACAGATAGGCACTACTAGTTTTTGAAGGGCCACCATTTCAATTTACTGATGAGAAATCCTGTATTCCTAAGATACTAAGCTGCTCTTGGCTATGTTGATGAGAATTGAGTTGGCTATTAGAATTTTGTTGAACATTATCTGGCTGCCCCTCAAAATTGTCTACTAACACCAGTTTCTCTTGATTAATACTGGCTAATTTGCTCTGTAATTGCTGCTAAACTGGTGGAATTACTTAGTACTTGGTTTGCATTTCTTCAATTACAGTTGACCACAGTTAATTATGTACTTTGTGTCATTGAAGTGCAGTCTTTCAGACGTACTTGTTCAAGTGCCTTATTAAGGAACTCGTTTTATTAGAAATTTATTTTGGTATAAGCTATAAATTCCAACTTCTTTCAATCACTCAGATTGAAAAGTTCTACCACATATAAGAACTTGGGAATCCAAGTGGTAGGCTATTGCTTCTCATAGAGCTATGCCTTTTAGTCGGAATTGCTTTTCTATTTGAGGGAAGAAGGAAGGTCTTTATCTGAAGCTCTTTGAAAGTGCTTTGTTCTGGAAGTTTTAAAGTGGACAGTGCAGGCTAGAAGAAAAATAAACCTTGAGAGGGCTTGATCTTTGATATTGGACTGGAGGCAAGTTTCAGGTGACTCAAGAACAGACCCTACTTAGAAGAATGGAACACAGAGTAGCTAGTGGAATTTTTCCCCCCTGGCTCCAGGACATGGGTGAGCTGTGGTTGTAGCTATTAGTGGGAGATGAAAAGTGATGACAGGGTTAGGACTGGGGGGTTCGGTGTGGGAGAAAGAGATTAAGTTTGACATCCCACCTGCCTGCGAGAGGACTAGGAAAAACAAACAAAAACTCCTGGCTTCTGGGAAAGGACATTTTCAGGGCAGTGTGAGAATCCCTACCTGAACTTGAGGTCCGGACACAGTAGAGTTTGTCTAACAGAATCATGGATCCTACCCCCACACCTTCAAAACAAACCCAAGATTTCTCTGACCTTTAGTGTTGTACACTATGGTATTTAGGTTCCAGAGAATTGTGGAATTTTATGAGTTAGGAAGTAGATTTAGTTGGTGTTGATGGAATATATTTTAGACTTTAAAAATACCAAGGAATGAAAGACTTAACTCTTTGGAGTTTTACTTGGGGAAGAAGAACTACTTGTAGTAGTGGGCAAAGATTACCTGTTTCTTTGACATTCATCAAGATCTGTCAAATTGAACAGTCAAAGAGAGACATGCTTAATGTACCTGAAAAGTAATGTAAGTCCCTTAATGTGATTTTGTTTGTTTTTTTGTAAAGCTTGTGCTATAATAGCCGGTGGGTGGGAAGCAAGCAAGTTGGGCCAACAGAAGTGATGATAGGTGACATGACCAGGAACTATACTTGCCAAGTAGGTTGTAGATTAAAGTAACATGAGAATCTTGATGAGGGAAAAGCATGGAAGAGACGGTCAGCCTTACATAAACCTTGTCATGGCAATCAACTAAGGGCACTTGATGGGTGCAGAGATGCCAAAACTATACAGTAGTTAGGGTAGAATAGAAATGTAATGGAAAGCCTCATACTTTGAAAAGGACTGCAGATTAAGTCTGGAATAGCAGCAGGAAATGATGTTTATGAGCAAACTGACCAGATACGTTCAGTTTCTAGAGCTGCATAGGAAACAGACTGAGAACAGTTTACAAGACTAGGCTATACGACACATTGCTAATTTAGTAGGTTAGAAAAGGAAGTACAAATTTACAATAGATAAGCAAAACAGCAAGGTCCAGGTTCTTGTGGCTTGAGCTTTTTAGACCCAGAGGGAATTGGTGTTAAAGGCAGCAAGTCCCTATGGTGAAACTAACAGTCCTGAGACAGCTGGCTGGTCTGCACTGTCCTGAAGCTACAGCCAGGTCTGATACTACCAAGGATGGTGACCACTGGAGTAGGAACTGGGTAACTAGATATGTTGTGCTGCTCTTGTGATTATAGTTAATGGGCACACTGACTTGCTAGGTATCAAGCCTCATTACTCATGAGGGAGTCATACCCCATCTTTAACTGATCTAGAGTCAGCCTCTCACCACAGAAGGTGAGTGGGCGAAGAGAACTTGATGCAAAAATGGAAAGAGAGATGTGTTGGTGCTCCAGTTCTAAAGAATCAGTTGAAGGAGCCTCATGTGGAGAGAAGTCTTCTATGTTGGAGGGTAAATAGCCTTCATGGCTGGGAAGGTAGTCCACTGGAGTGACTGTCAAGGAATTGGTCAGGTTGCCCAGTTTTGAGTCAGGTTCCCTGCTTCCCAGCACCTTGTATAGATGAACTAGTCTTGTGTCGGCTGTGAGAGTTCCTGTAGGTTGTAGACTGGAGGCAATGTATATTGTGTCTTCCTTGGGGGTAGAGTGATCTTGGAACCTTTGTCTTCTTTTGGGGCAATAGGGTTGTCTGAAGATTGGGGTTATTTGGTAAAGGACCTCATTGATGATTAGGGGCTCAGGCTCTTCGGGAGTGGGCCAGGCCATCAGGAGACTGTCCATGGCCTGGGAGAAGAAAGAATGGGTATGTAGGTCACTTTGACAACCTGTATCTCTGAGTTTCCAAAACTTTGCACCCTGCCCTGTCTCAGCCTCAGATGAGAAGCTGGGCCTTTAAATTTTGGAGGCACCAGAGCCAGATATCCATGCCCTACTCATCATTGCCAATCTCCAACCAAGGGCAGATTGATGAGCTTAACCTTCAGTCTCTGAATCAAGCTATACCATTTGCTTTTTCTAGTGGCATAGGCCTGGAGACAGAATGGGAAGGCTCGAGCAGAGTCTGGAGAGAGGGAGTATTTTCCAGGTTGGAGGTGGTAGAGGGAAATTAGTGTATTGAGCCTGCTGGTTTGTTGTCTTCCACCATTCATTGCTGAGAATCAAATCCAGGGGATTATACGTGCTAAGGCAAGTGCTTTACTATTGAGTCACATCCCTAACCCTGTTATTTGTTAGTACTGGGGAAAAAACAAAAACAACAGAGTTTAGAAATGGGCGAGACTACTCATGAAGGGCTTCTACTAAAGACCGCATCATCACTATGTAGCCCTGGCTAGCCTGGATATCTGCCTCCTGAGTGCTGGGATTAAAGGTGTGCATCATGTCATTAAGGCCCTTTAAGAGCATGCTAAGGGGTTTGGGCTTTGATGGAATTAGATGATTTCAGATAAGGCAATGCTCTTGTCAGGTTGGCATTTAAAGAAGTATTTGAAGAGCTTTTCTGTAACAGATTTTCATCTTCCCCTTTAGCTAGTCTTGATAATGCATTACTAAATTTTTCTGTTAACTTTTCCAGCATCTCTTTGGTCATCAGCTCTACCATGTCTTCTTAATAAGTTTACTGCCAGTTCTCAAGTTCAAGTCCTTGGCACTTGATTAACATTTCTCCTACCAGGCTTTAGTTGAGTTCTTCTTACATCTTATTCTGTTGCACAGTTTGTCTGGGCTTCCCAAGGTAGAGCTGTTAACAACTAGGCTTATATGAAAAGATTTCAGCCCCTAGTCTGCTCCTTTCTGCATCTATTTCCCATTTTACTTCCACATAGTTTCTCAGTGGCAGCAACACATCTGTTTGGCACCTGACATTTCCATTAGTTCCCTATTTGCACTCCATTCAAGCAGTGCATTCAGACCACCCAGGAGGATCTGAATACGTAACTTAGAGAATGGGCAAATTCTGAGGATGAGCCCCAGCTTTGATAGTCTTTGGGAAATTTTGATCAATCTCTGCCTTGTTTTTCTCATTTATTAAATGACAAGTTGCACAAGAGGGTCTTGGTATAATTAGCCTCTGATATGGCCACCTTTTGAGGGCATGACAAGTGTCAAGAAAGGAATGATGACAAGGTCAAGAATTCCATGAAAGGCTTCCATTGTTCTCTTAAAAGTTGGTTCTCCCATGGTCATCCTCAAGCTGGTCCTGGCATGTATGTTTGTCTTGGAACATGCATGGCAGCTGTGCCAAAGCAAGGCTACCATATGGGAGAGATTAACAGGATGAGAGAAGTTTGTTTGTTTTCACTAGGTGAGCTGTTCTGCCTCTGTGGGACAGTACTGACAGACTACTCTCTAGCACTTCCTTAAGGCTGGCTTCTAGAAAGCCCCAGGGTTCCTTTAGCCTTATGGTTCAGGAATACCATGGGCACCGATTTTAGTGATCCTCTGTGTAGTTTGGCCTTTTCCTTCAGAGTTTTAAGGTATATCTTTATTTCAAATCTATTTTCTCCCTCAATCGGGTACAAAGTGCATTATATAGTTTTTTAGAAACAGACTACCTATGTACTTTAGAAGTCAAACCATCCAGGCTGTGGGACTGCTTCAAAGTCTTCATCAACTACATTTTTAAAGGCTATTTATGGAGATGGCTCAGAGGTTAAGAGCACTAGCAGCTCTTCCAGAGGTCCTGAGTTCAATTCCCAGCAACCACATGGTGGTTCACAACCATCTAATGAAATATAGTGCCCTCTTCTGGTGTGCAGACATAAATGCAGACAGAACACTACACATAACAAATAAATTAAAAAAAAACCCCAAACCCTTAAAGACTATTTGTTCTTTGTGTATATGAGTGTTTTGCCTTCATGTATGTTCTGTTCCACATGTGTGAAGTACCTGCAGAAGTCAGAAGAGGACATTGGACCCCAGAGGTGGTTGTGAGCCACCTTTTGGGTGCCAGTAACAACTCAGGTCCTCCTAAGCAAAAATGTGTGCTTTTGACCATTGAGCCATCTTTCCAGCCACTGAAAGCTACTTAATTTTTTTCCCCAATGGACTATTTTTACAAAGTAATAATTCAGACGTCAAAAAGAATATGCAATAAAAATCAAAAGGCTTCCTATTCTCAACTTCTCTTCAGAAGCAGCCACCATAATGGGCTTATGTATTTGGCAGGCTTCTGTAAAAGCTATCTCAAGCACTTGTTATAAACTTCTTGACTTTTTTGTGAGACTCCTGATAGCTCACATTGCTCCTCCTGCTTTAGCCTCCCCAGTACCTTTTACCTCTCACTTGTAAGTGGGTTAAAAATCTTTAAGCACATACAAGTCTCACTTTTCTTTAAGCGTGTTGTTTTATTGCTATGACTAGTGTACTTCTGCCATGTGTTTTTGGGCATCTTTTATATGACAGTTTTTGCTACTGTACTATCTCTAAACTTTTGTGCATCTTATTTGATGTTTTGTCCAGCCTGTAGCATCTCTGTGTTGCCTCTATTTCCTGGTCAGTGTCCATGGTTACAGTGTGAAGGACAGTGTTTTCACCCAGCACAGAGCTGCCTTCCACTGTGTTTTAGCCTTAGATTGTCAAGCTCAATTGGTTCAAATCCTGGTACTTGAATACTCTCTTACGCCAGCAAGGCAACTTCTAAGGCCTTGTGGCTCATTGTATATTCCCGTAGATTATGGTCCTTCAGTGAGGGCCAGTGTGTGGATACCTCCCTAGTGAGTGTTCAGCTCTGCAGTATGGGACACTAGAAACACTCGTCATACTGTGCTTAAAGGTCTGTTGTAAGGTGTAATGTCTTCATATCCTGCTTGGAAATGAATTTAGGATCCATTGTTTATCACTAGTATTGGGCAAATTATTTGGTCCTCTGCTTTAGTTTCCTCATCTGAAAAATCAAGATAATACTATGTCTTATAGCTGCCAATAAATTGCTGATACATGAAATTAAAAGTGCCTGCTACATAGGAAGTAATATGTAGGTTATATATAAATACAATATGTTGATGTACTCTAATTATGTACTTGACTAGTACATAGTATAGTATATAGTGTATATACATCTATCATTGTCACTACTCGTGCTATTGTAAACAAAAATCCCTCAATAGAAGTCTCCAAGTATGGTTGTTCTTGGGAAGAAATGAAAACTGAAAAGAAGTGAACATGGTGGATGATGCCTATAATCCCAGCATCATGGGAGTCTGAGGCAGGAAGATATTTGTGAGTTTGAGGTCAATCTGAGCTATAGAGTGAAAAGCTATCTCAAAAACAAACTGCAACAAAAAAGTAAAAAGCATTTGCTTCACATGGCATCTTATTTACACTTCTGTAATAAAATGTGAAACGATGGCACTTGGTACTCAGATAGTTGGGCAAGTTATCCAAGATACACACATGGTAAACAACAGCAGCAGGCTCTTCCAGAACCAGTTGCAAAGATGCTGAACTGCAGTGATTGAAATTCCTAAAGCAGAGGTGGCTAGCAGCAGTTCCTCTAAGCAGAGGCTGAGCCACTGGCTTTTGGCTTAAGGAAGTGAATCAAAAGAATCTTGAAAAAAGGCTTTCAGGACTCACAGCAGCAGGAAAGATTGGCATGTGGCTTCCTTTCCCTCTTGTTCTTCAGATGCCACAACTTTCCGACCTCCAGAGATACCCATCTCGCTCCCTCCCGTAAACAGTGGCAAAGTCCCTTTGCTGCTTTATCCCCAGTGCTCTTTCACTTGTATGTTGAGCCATCTCTTCCATAAAGCCTTTTCTTTATATACATAATGACTTCCCACAAAATTCAAAACTAAGGGTTGCTTTTACTTTGTTCTGTCCTCTAACAGGATTGGGAAAGTTAAATTCAATTGCCTGAATTTGGATCAGTTAATTATCAGGGTACTATTCCAAATGACAAAAAACAACCAAAAATACATACTTTCTTCTTTTGAAATAAGTTGAAGTGAGGGGCATGAAAGCTCCTGGAGTCATAAAGCTTGGTAGGTCTTATGTTCATGGGCTTCAGTTCTCATGCATGGACTGCTCTTGAGTCCAGAAGAAAACATAACTCATTATCAACTCTGCCCATCCACAGTATCTTATTCCTGGGAGGATTTCTTTAGATGTGGTTATTTACTAGCACTACATTAGCTGCAATGTGACTTTGTACCTTACCTCTGCAATGGGGTACTTCTTTACCCATGTGCTATTTGCTGGATCTGGAATGGTTCTGCTGTACCATTGAGGTCTGAGAGTAGAAAGGAAAGCAAATAACCTATAAATAAGAAAACAGTGACAAATAGTTAAATGTGTGTACAAAGGCACAGTTTCACAGGCTCTCAGTGCAGTTATTTTAGGGGAGAGGATTCTTTTGTATGAAACGAGTAAAAGACAAACCCTGAAAGAAACATTGTCCAAGGCAGGAGTTCTTTGGATTGATGACAATAAATCACGATACAACCACTTAGAGTTTGCTAAATAAATTAATAACTTTTGAGGCCGGGCGTTGGTGGCGTACGCCTTTAATCCCAGCACTCGGGAGGCAGAGCCAGGCGGATCTCTATGAGTTCGAGGCCAGCCTGGGCTACCAAGTGAGCTCCAGGAAAGGCGCAAAGCTACACAGAGAAACCCTGTCTCGAGAAAAAAAAAAAAAAAAGGAAAAAAAAAAACCTTTTGTTCCACTTAATTTTTAGTAGTCCCTCACTATTTAGCCATGCATTAATTCAGCAAGTAACATTAAACTAAGTATGTGATCAGTACAGTGGCACATGCTGGGAATAGAAGAGCAAAGCAGAAGATATTGTTCATATGTTTGGGGATCTTGCTAGTGAGCTAATTAAAATATTAGTACATTATTATAATGAAGATTTAAAATAGGATATAGAATAGTGTAATATCTTGATTATAATGTTTAAAATACCAAGGAAAGGGTATTTTAGAGAAATATCTGTTAACAGTGATTACACTTTGTGATCAGAGGAAATTGGAGGTCTTGTGATGAGAAAAAATTCAAGAAGCTTATTAAGTACACATGACTTAAAACTATTGGCCGTTAAAGAATCAAAACCAGTCAGGCAGTGGTGGCACATGCCTTTAATTGCAGCACTTGGGAGGCAGGGGCAGGTGGATCTCTGTGAGATTGAGGCCAGCCTGGTCTACAGAGTGAGTTCTAGGACAGCCATGGTGGTTACACAGAAAACCCTGTCTCAAAAAAAAAAAAAAGAAAAAAA